AGACAGACAGACAGACAGACGGACGGACAGACAGAGAGACAGACGGACGGACGGACGACGGACACCTTACTATCGCATAAGCTCTTCTGCTCTCTGACCAGTAGAGCTAAAAATCAACTTGTTTTACTAAATGTCTAACATGAACAAATTCTTTAGAAGATACAATTTTTCAATGATGAGCAACTTCTCATAGTTATGCATTGTAATAAATCTGAAGAGTAGGGCTGAGATGATATATTGAAATATTTATTATGTGTGAGGGCAATACGAGTATCAATACATCTTGTCTGTCCATCATACAAAAAATATTAATTATTTGATTAATAAAAGCAAAGATCAAAGCTTCTCAAAACTGCATCAAACTTCAAGATCATGAGGTCATATATTATAATACAGTTCGACGAAAGGTCTTGTCACCAGTAATGCACATGTGAAAAAAAAATTATGAAAGCCACATCTCTTCTGGAGCAAAAGTTTTGGCCATAGTTAAAATTTTTGATAAGTAGTTCAAACTCCTAGGTAAAAGTCATGAGGCAAAAAATGATATACCTTTCTGAAAGGTGTTGACATAGGTAATGTACATGAAAATATGAAAGCCCTATCTTCTCTCAATCAAAACTTATTACCAATATAAAATAAATTAAAGAAATTATAGGTTAAACACCCAATTTTTGGTAAACGCCCCCAAAATCTTCCGTATTCAAGATTAATGTTATACCGCCTGTCAATCATGGAAAAAAGCTACCGTGTACTGATTTGATTGACAGGCTAGCTATCCGTGCTACACGATACTAAATCTGAGTTTGCATGTTTTGAAAACGATCACCTGGTCACGCGTCAAATGCTTTCATGTATCGCGTGAATAGTTGCTTTGTATATACTCTGATAAAAAAAAAAATCGTTGTTATATTTCAAACAAGAGGTCCAGGGGCCACATCGTTAACCTGAGCACTTCGGCTAGGAAAAAGCAGAAATCAGTTCAGTTTTGAAAAAGTGGTTGGGGGTATGATTTAAACACTTTAATCTACACTTCCTAGGGATGCTTTTAAATTAATATGTCACATAATGGTTTGCTGTTTTTAAGACGAAAGTTTTTATTGATATATCCTTTATATTCCTTTGTATAACTATGATCCCCTGTTATGGCCCCTCTATTCTCCTGGGGGTCATGATATGAACAAATTTAAATCTAGATTACCTGGGGATGCTTTTATAATATTATGACCAATCATGGCTTTGTTGTTCTTGTGAAGAATTTAAAGATTTTTCCTACGTGTTCCTATGTAAAACTTTGATAACCCATTGTGGTCCCACCCTACCCCCGGGGGTCATGATTTGAACAAACTTGGATCTGCCGTACCTGAGGATGCTTCCATATAAATATGACCAAGCACAGCTTTGCTGTTCTCGAGAAGATTTTTAAAGATTTTCTTATGTATTCATATGTAAAACATTGATCGCCCATTGTGGCCCCACCCTACACCCGGGGGTCATGATTTGAACAAACTTGAATCTACACTACCTGAGGATGCTTCCATGTAAATATGACATATCATGGCTTTGCTGTTCTTGAGAAGAAATTTTTAAAAGATTTTTCTAGTGTATTCATATGTAAAACTTTGATCCCCCATTGTGGTCCCCCCTACCCCGGGGGTCATGATTTGAACAAATTTGAATCTAGACTACCTCACAATGATTCCACATATGTTTCATGTTTTCGAGAATAGTGGTTCTTGAGAAGAAGATTTTTCAATGATGCCACTAATTTTTCACGAAATCATAATTATTTCCTCTTGGGAGAATGCGTGGCCCTTCATTTGAATGAACTTGAATCCCCTTTACCCCAGAATACTTGGTGACAAGTTTGGTCGAAATTGGTCCAGTGATTCTTGAGAAGAATTGAAAGATTACGACGACACGGACAGATTTCGATCAGAAAAGCTCAATTGAGCCTTCGGTTCAGGTGAGCTAAATATAATCAAGAGTAGGTAGTTAAATCTTGGCTTCACGAGTTATTTTTTTCTCTCCACTGTTTTGGTTCTTGTAAGCGATATGACTCCCAGATAACTAACGTTTATTCGATCCCTTTTCTCCTTCAATGACTGGGACTGGGATCCGAATACGGAAGAAGAAGTTCCTGTGGCAGCACAGAAAGATATCTCTTCCGAGCCCCTTATTCAACCTGTGTCTGGATTTCAAGAATGTCCAGATTGCCTCTGTCAACTTGGGTACACAGAAATTCCTCTTCGCCGTAATTGGAAACAATTGCCCCCTTCCCCCATCAATTAAAATTATAACAAAATGAAATAGATCTAGAATAAATGAGAAAAGATCATTTAACACTAAGGGTATGGAATAGGTTTTAACCTTTATCAAATGTTTTAACTGTAAATATTATAGATTTTTCAAAAATTCACCTAAGTGTAAACGTACGTAGCCCTAAAATTGTCTTGGTATACAGTGGGTTAAGGTTTATCTTTAAACTTCATTTTGGGGGTATCATTCTTTTTTTTAATAAACAAAAACAACAAATTGAAAAAAAAAATAAAACAATTAATCAACACCATGCGGTGGAATAAATGTCACAATCATTTTTCGATTTTCCTCTAACGTCTATATTCGTAATGATAAGAGTGAATATAACAAACAGTGATCGATCTTTGAAAAAGTCTACAAACATTGCAAATCTGTGAACAGGGTATAAAAACACGACCCCCGGAAATTGCGAAGGTGAATATTTTGGACTTTATTGTTGGCCAGAAAAATAAATAATATTCCGATGGTATATCCACACGATAAATGGAATCTTTTTATTACAATATTTACTCTTTTACTGACGATTAAAAAATATTGATATGATTGCTTTGTAGTTTTCATTCGTGATTATTTTTAATGATAGTTCTTTTATCAATTATTTTATCCTTCAATTAAAAGATATCGATGAAAACGTTTAAGTTGACAATTTTATATTTATATACAAAATCTGAGAATGCCACAATAAAAAGCTCCATTCTAAATTTTAAAGAATTTCACTGAAAATATAGAAAGTTACTCAGCGAGCGTGCATGTCCTCATATTCCTTTCTGATGATTGAATAATGTAGGAACTTATTTATACATACTCTGAATTTCATCTTCTTTTGTTAACAATTAAGAACATTTTAAATACCAACAACCTTATCCAATCAGATTTAAGCATGCATTTTCTAGATTTCTCAAATATATATTCTTATAGTGCCTCATAACACATGCCAATGCCTTAAATTTCAAAGAATTATATTGAATAGTAAGAGAGATACCACCTATAAAATATTAGCAAAATCAGATTTCAGCACATGTATGAGCCTGTGCGTATTTTCTAGATTTCTCACATATATATTCTTATAGTGCCTTATAACATACGTCAACGTCTTAATTTTCAAAGAATTATATTGAATAGTAAAAGAGATACAGCCTATAAAGTATTAGCCAATCAGATTTGCATGCGCGTGTTTTCAAGAATTTCTGTATGTAACATATTGTAGAACGTTATAATATATTCCCGTATCTTAAATTTCAAAGGATTTTGTCGAAAAAAGGAAGATATTGAGATTTTTGTTTCAGCCAATCATGTGCATGCGCATGGGTACATGCTAATTTTACCATGTCATCTTGTTTACTCAACTAATATATCTTTATGTTTTGAGTTTCTGAGCATTTCGTCAAAAAATATATATGTTTTGGTTATATTAAGTATATCAGTCATTTCACTCATCACCCGCGCATCCACATGCATGTGCGTGCAAAATGACCTTCGTTGCGCACATCTAGACAACATGCCTGTTAACCCTAAAAAGGTTAACTTTCATCTCAATCGGATGAGTAGTTTCCGAAAACACTCGCGGACAAAAAAGTACAGGAGAAGGAATTTTGAAAAAAGAAAGTAAAAAAATATGTTCCCAAACTTCGTTTCACTCAAAATTAGGCAAATAACGCGTAATGTTCAAGGACAGACTTCTGTGCCATGCAATGTGTATATGGATATTTGGAATCTTGAGTATTGGGGCTCTCCAGTTAAATAAAACCAGTATTACCAAGACCACTCCCCCTCCTCAGGTAACCATACGGTAAAACAATGGCTCTTTAACTTCAAGGTCACGACGTCAAAAACCAGAGTACATTCGGAAAGGTCTTGAAACATGTAATGCACAGGTCAAATATAAAAACCCTATATTCTCTCACTCAAAAAATATCATAACCTTAAAACTTTTGAAAATTAGGTCAAAAACTCCAAGGTTATGGGGTTAAAAATCATAGTGCATTTGGAAATGTCTTGTCACAGGTAATGCACTATTGCACATGTCACTTATGAATGCCTCATCTTCTTAGTCATATTCATAGCACATTCGGAAACTTCTTGTCACAGGTAATGTTTTTGTCAAATACTTCTCTCATTCAAAAGTAATCATTATTGTTGAAAAATAGGTAAAACTTCAAGGTCAAATTCTTAGGGTCAAAATTCATTGCATGTTCAGAAACGTCTTGTGACTGGTAATGCACACGTCAAATACGAATGCCCTACCTTTTCTCCTTCAAAAGTTATAACCAATGTTAAATTTTTTGAAAAGTAGGCCGAATTTCAAGGTCAAGAAATCATAAATCATAGTATATTTGGAAAGGTCCTGTCACAGGTAATGTACATGTGAAATATGAAAGCCGTATCTTATCACATTCAAAAGTATGACCAAGGGTAAAGTTTCTGTAACAGATGGACAGATGAATGATATTTAATGTAATGCCCCCTCGCTTTTGCGAAAGCAGGGGACAAAAAATATTTTAAATATATACCTTATAGATTAACACTACTTTTGTTAAATAATATAGTTTTCCAACAGATATACAGCTATTATGAAAAGATATTCTTATATGTGAAAAACATATTGTTTATTTTGATGCCAAAAGAAAACTTTTTAACTTAATTAAGGACATAAGCAATGTAGTTTGAACTTTATTGTCTTTTTCCCTGGAGTTGAAGAGTTCCAAAACTTAAAGGAACTGTGTGCTACATTTTATTGTCTATAAATGCTGTTGCTCACTTCTTCTAGAACAAGTCTGGATAAACAAAACATCTAGCATATATGTTTAGTAAGTTTTGTAAATTTTTCTTTGAATTATACACGAATTTTCATCATTTAATATGGTAATGCATGCTGATTTTTTGTCTACGAACATCTGATGGCACTATAATCTTAAATTAAGAATATCTTGAAAAATTATCAGTAGGTAAGGTACGTTGCGTATGTCCTTAAGATATCCTGAAAAATATTGTAACACTGCACAACTGTCATTATACATACATGTATTAATATACAAGAAAGTGTTTTGTCCCAAGCCGTAGTGAAATGTTTTACAAGCTTCATCTAAATGAAATTAATAAAACATTCAAGTCAAAGTAAAATAGTTCTGCGAAAACAAACAGATTTAGTTTTACCCAGTGGATCCAAATCCTCCCCGATCTGTGTCATCCAGCTTCTGTAAACATAAAATGTAAATTGTAAACATGAAATGTAAATTGTAAACATAAAATGTATGTGTAAAATGTACCAAATTTAACATCAAATTGAAACATATAATGTAAACTTTGGGTTTAATATGATGAAAATTCTAGATATCCCTTTCATTTTCTGTTTTATAGGTCTATATTTAAATGCTTTTAATCATACAATGTTAAAGCTGAACATGGCTCATAATGTGGCATACACCATACAACATATTGAAGTTTTCCCATCGCAAATATCTGCACTGAGGTATACACATTGCATTCGTTACACCTGATTTCTTCTTGCCACAGACACCCGCATGAAATAGACGACAAGTGGCAATATTGGTTATTTTACACTACCTTTGCAGTTTACGTGTATTTGTGTATGTTTGTATTGCAATGACCTGTGCAACCGATGTGGTAACTTTTTCTCCTGGAAGAAACACAGAGTAATTACTTTTGTCGATACCGAGTATTTTACAATAGCTATGTAGGATACATCCATAAGGGTGAAAACTGAAAAGCATATTTCACTGAATCGCGACGAAGTGATCGGTCCATACAGAGGCTCTAAAAGTGAGGGCGATTGAAGAGGAATATGGCTTACTGAAGCTAAATCTCTTACTTTTAAGAGTCTGTTCAGCTTTAATGTAAAATGTGCGCCTTTCATTTTATGCTTAGGTAAATAAAACGTCTGAATTTGTTGTCCACTTCAAAAATTCCTGGTTTACTTACTTCACATTCCTGCAGGTCTGGGATGTAAATTCTCTCACAAATCAACTGGGCTATTCTGTCTCCTTTCTTAACTACAAAGGCATATGTAAATAAATGTAATGTTTAGAAAACTTGTATAGCATCAAAAGTTTTGTGTATTCTACAACACAGATCAAGCAGAATGATTTAATCTTACTTATAGCAAAACTAAATTTAATAGTATTGTGCACATAATGTAATATTTCGGCTAGGTCAAAATGCTGTGCATATATATTTTAAGTCCTCATGTACAAAATTCTACAGATTCGTATGCTGATATATTTAGGTCAAACATTTATTTCATCCTCACTAGTTTTAAAGGTAAGCAGTATCTATATACATTCTCTCCTAGATAATTATATGCATTCTTTTGTGTACAATCATGCTTATGTTTGATTTACAACTGAACAAACGTTGTTTTTACTGACATTAAATATCTGGTAATAAAAACTACTAAGTAGTCCATGCACAAAATAATTGGTTTTTCTGTATTTCTTTTTTGTCTTGATATCAAGGGCCTGGGTCTTTCCAATTCGGGAAAAATAACATTTGCTTGAAATTGGAAAAAAATACCTACAAGAAAAGTACAGATCTGTCTACATTTTTTGTTTGCAGAGGTGTAATCTAAGTCCTTATAATGACGGAATTTTAGATACAATGGCGTAATTCTTTGTATTTTCCTATTTTTATATCTCGTTGTGTTTCTATATAATCTGAATCATATCTGTTGTACATCATGTAATAAAATTATAATCAAATTATTTATTGACAAAAATTCTATGTTTTTTAAACATCCACAACCTAACATCTCAATGTCTTAGACTTAATGATGTATTTGGTCAATAGTATGCATATCACAAGTAATTCAATCTTTGGGTGGCATAATTAGCACAAATCATTATAATTATTTAATGTACGTGCATATGATGTTTTTGTATCTGCTTCGTCTGCTACATTTTCAGCACATGCTGCCGTCCTAGTTACCATTAATCATTTTCTGTATTGCTCTCTTAAAGAATTATAGTACCCTTGATATATAAAATGTTAACAGATCCTGTCTATGCATATTACTTGGTCGTACTTAAACACATTTTTAAGCGTTGAATTTTAAAAGTGTAAAATTGAATTTTATGGTGCAATGATGTAATTTTGTAATGAAAAGCTGAAGAATTATGCCAACAGCAAAAGTGTAAGCAGGATTGAAAGTAGGCAAAAAATCCAAAACAATGTAATAAGGTATAATTGGATTCCTTCTACTTTCAATTTGGTCAAGGCTTACCTCATTTAAAAACAGAGGCAAAAAAAAAAGGCAAAAAAAGAACAAACAAAAATAAAAAACAAAAAAAAAAAAAAAAAATCAAAAAACAAGGCTAACTTTTCAACTTCGGAGTAAAAATTGGAATGTTAGAGACCTTTTTATACAGTAAGGCTATCCTGTTGTGATTTTTCATTGTTTGGAAATTTAAAAGCAAAATTAAATTGGAAAAAATACCTGTTTTTAAGCAATGGGAATGGGGCCTTACAATTATGTTGACCCCCTATAGACCCTAAAAACTTTTTAATTGAAAACAATTAGTACCTACACAGTAGAAACCTTGGCTTTAAATTTCTGTCTGGGACATTGTATTGAGTAAAATTGCTTTTATTTACAATAAATCACAGGTATTGCTAGTACAATTCAGACAAAATAAAGTCTCCTCATTTCTAAAGCTATTGATCATATAAAATGACACCATATGTTGTACCTTCAAAGTCTTCATCTGCAAAGTTGAACATAACCACTCCTACATTTCCTCTGTAATCCTGGTCTATCACGCCAGCTGTTCAAGGAAAATGAAAATACTAAATGCTTACCATGGAATTATGTTACGTACTTTAAGTCTTTAATATTTGGACTTTTTGAACGTGAACTCCCTGATGAACTGGAGTGGAAGTGTATGTATATATTAATGAAAGATCTTTGAATTACAACTATTTAAAGTGTTCTGATTTAAGTGTAAAAGATTTTGATTTTGATTTAGACAGATTTAATTCTTCACACCTCCCACATCAATGAAGTGTTTTGCTGCTAGTCCTGATCGTGGAGCTGAAAAAGAAACAAATTAAGTTTTACAAATAGGTATTCAATTCATATTTTTGAAAATTTCATCTTGAAAGCTTTACTTTATTTTTGTAGCATTAAAGTTCAGTCATAAATTTCTATGATTCAACTTTAAATTTTATCAAAACCATATCTGTATATATAAACATAACTCCACAGATTTGTTTTCTCATACCAACTCTGCCGTAACAGCCATCTGGTAGGGCTATCTGGATATCTGTTCTTACACTTTCTTTCCCTTTTGCAGGAATTTTATAGTCATAAGCACTGAAAAGATGACATCATTTTTTGAAAAAAAAAAATCACTTGTATAATGTTAACATTGTCACCAAAATATTGATAACAACTAATGGTAACAAATACTGATCACTGTACAAATGCTTCAGTGTTATTTATATTTCCTCAATTTTATATGGTACATACATTATTGAATTGCTGTTCTACATTAGTTATGGGGAGGAATGCTGTCCAGACAGTTGCACTGATAAGACATGCATATCATAGAGCGCTGTCCCTTAATATCTTTTGTAGTTTAGGAACTTAAGGCCCAAAAAAATTAATAGTTTCTCAGGCCAAAAACTTAAATATTCAATGCGACAGACAGGTTCTCTTTTGTGAGGGGGGGGGGGGAGCAGGTGTTATTTTTTCATGTCAGTCGTTCAACAAAAATGATGATATCAACTGATTCTTACTTTTTTTGTTCTCTTACATCAAATATAATGCATATTCAACTTTAGATAATGTTATTCCAAACATTTATTTAAAAGTTGATTCATAAAATACCATATTTACAAGACATATTTTGTTCATCTAATAAAACGTCTATTTGCATTTATGAAAAGGGAAATAACTCTTTTCTTTTGCAACTTGGAAAAATTGAAAACTGAGTTATTTCTCTTTTCAATATGTCGATAAAATTGATCAATGCGGTAGTGTTTGACTGATGCGGTCGTGCCTGAAACAATATTAAATTGATTAATTTTTTGGCCTTCTATGTAATGTCATATATAGATTCTTGGTATAAGGGAGATGATTCAAATTACTCATAACCTCTGTCTTATCTTGCCTCAATATCTAATGTTTTATGTTTGTTTTGCTGCATATGCTTTTGGACACTTTTATGGCCGGTTGCATATCTCGTATTCAAACCGCTGATCAATGATTCGGAGTTTATGCGTTGCACACAGGTAAGGCTTGGCTGAGTACGGCTGTGAATTACGGTAAATTCTGAACATGGGGTAGGGATGGTTTAAACCCGGCTTGATATAGTTTTCCTTGAGTTTTCTTGAATATTTGGACATTTCGGGATGTTTTGATTGATTTTGTTTGTTTATTTGCTTTTTATTGTTTAACGTCCCTCTCGAGAATTTTTCACTCATATGGAGACGCCACCACTTGCCGGTGGAGAGCTTCACATTTTGGCGTATACTCAGGGCCATTGAGCAGTGAGGGATCTTTTTCGTGCCAGCACCTACTACGACACGGGACCTGGTTTATACGGTCTCAGCCGAAGGACCGGTCTTCACGTCTCACAGTGGGATTCGAACCCGCGACGCAAGGATTAACTCCTTACTCCGCGACTCTAGAGCGAACGCTCTAACCACGTGGAAAAATTGATAAGATGAAAACAAGTAGCGAGAAACAGGTAATATCCAATTATAATTTATGGTGATGGTTTAGACTTCGGCGTATAAAGTCTATCTTAACTATTCTACAAGAGATTGTTTACCGGTATGTAAGGGAGAAAGGCCGAAAACTGTCCATTCTGTAAGAGAAAGAACTAATCGAAGGCCGTAGGCCCGAGATTAGTTCTTTCTCTCACAGAATCGACAGTTTTCGGCCCTTCTCCTACTTAAAACATGATTTCCTTTGTTCTAAGAATTAAATAAAAAATGTACAATACTGGTATCATATATGACAGATAGCACATATACAAGTTCATTGTTTACAGAATGGACAGTCACAGGTAAGCTGGGATGCAGAGCAATTTGTTGAATAGTCCCGGTGTTTTCAAATGCAAATAACAAAAGGTTTTTGTCTAAAGAATGGACAGTTACAGGTGGATTTTGGGGGATACTAGTATTTATACAAGGATGCGATGCTTCAAAATCAGTTTATAGTTTGCGTTGAAAAGGCATGCATGCTTTCCTCCGATGGAGAGAGTATATTTGACAGAATCAAAATCTAATGAACTAAAAGATGCACAACATTGGTGATAGTTGGACCTGTGAAGAGAATAGTAAGAGTAAAAGAAAATGTTAACCAAACTTTGACCCCAAAATGAATTTCTTCTTCGACAGGTAATCAAATTCGAATCATATCTGGAAATGTTTTATTTAAAATCAAATTTTGAGGATATATTGACTGCTGCAGTGTAATGGTGAGATGCAAATTGTGTTCTGAGTGTTGGATTAGCCACGAGCCAAACTTTGACCTGAAAATGTATTTCAAATTAAATCTAGAAATGTTTCAATTTTAATTATTTTCTACGGAAGCAGTGTAGTGCTCATTGTACAAACTGTTTTCTGGGTGGTGGATTTAGTATTAGCCGTACTTAATACTTAAAATGGATTCTTCTCAAGGGAATGATGTTTTCGAAATTTAGATCAAATGTGAAATTGTGTCATTTAAATTCAGGTTTTGTGAAAATTGAGTTTTGAGTATTGAAATAATGGGCATTATTCATGGATTTAAAAGTGTAAAATCGAGCGGGTTCTGTGCAGACATTGTGTTCTGGAATATCTTAGATCTCTATGTTCTTTTCCTAGATCTTTTCCTTTTATTTACATGTAAATTAAATCGTATTCAATGTATTTGTTTTTGTTTCCTCTTGGGCACATTCCAAAGTTTACCTATAACTCTCCATTCTGTTTGTTTTAACTGTCCATTCTTTTTGAAAAAAAAAAAACAAACTGTCCATTCTTAAAAAGAATGGACAGTTTTCCAAAAAGAATGGACACTTACAGGTGAATTAATGGATTGTTTGGGGAGTTAGCTCAACATTAAGCTATAGAATGGACAACACAGACAAAAGGTTTACGTCACAATCATGTTTTAAGGTCATATTGGGGATGTTTTTAGCACAACTCTTCAGTGCCCTTTTTTATCAACTTCTTATAATATTGACGATGCTGAAGTATAATGATGCTGGAGTTTTTTTTAACTGTACCTTATTGGGCGTGTACAAATGTACAGAAACAAGAATTTTATAGAAACTTTCTCGTGTAACTGCTTCTTCATATCATTTTGGCATTGTTTCTAAATCACTACGAAATTCCCAAGACCCCCTCCAGTTTCCTCTCTGATCTGTCTTCTTCAAACATCTATTTTGTTTGCGATTTCATATTTTTTGACAGCAATTTTAGTGGACTCATTTTCGTTGATGAATCCCTTCGACTTGGTCTGAATTAAATTCTGTTGCATCTTTTTCACCTGCATTTTTTTATTACAAACATTATGTTTGTTCTTAATCATATTCGTTCTAGATTCAATCAGTTCCAGCAAATCTTATTTTTAAGTGCTGGGAAATTAGGTGACTTACTAGCCTTCGACATCTTACTTAATTTTAGTAAGTCAAAATTTTGTAAGCCTTACTCGGTTTTATAGCATGCAATAGAACTACAGCTCAAGTAAGCCCGACTCAACTGACGTTTAAACCCGGCTTACGTGATCCACGAATCAGGGCTTGATCTGTACTTATCTGAGCCATAGATCCTCGCCTGGCCATTGAGCAAAAGATGTATTCCATTGTTTAAGTAACTGAACACCACCTTGTGTTCTGTGAGGCACGGATAAGTTTGATTACTTCACATTGTGCTGAATTTTTAACAATGAAGTAACAAGTATCATGTTAACCAGAACTGGTCTTCCTTGTTATTTCATTCAAGAAGTAACTGTTTGGTCAGAAATGGACTGTTGTACATAGCCCCAAAACTTTTAGAATTTTTACTGCATTTGCACTGAAAGAGACACATATTCTTTTCTTAATTGTATTCAGATCAGTTAAAAGTTGAAAATTATTACTGCATGATCAAAGTGCCATTTTTTTTACATTCTGAAAAGAAAAATGCTAATTTAAGAAGTAATTATGATTTAGTAGACAAATAAACCTACCTTAAGTAGGTAAATAAAGCTATGTAGGTATTTCAAGCTACGTAACTAAATCTAGTGATTGTACCAAACCTGTGTACAACAGATTGTGCAATTCTCACTAGTGCAGGATAGTAAAAATTTAGGGTGCCAATTGCAGAGGTTGTATCCCTTGGCTGCTTCAGTTATTCGTTTCCTTGCGTAATAATGTTTAGTAAAATATAAATAAAAGCCATTAATGATAATAATAATATCATAATAATAATAATTACAACAACCAGGAAATTTGCATGTAGTTTTCACCTGTACAAGTCATATCCAGCTGCCAATTTTGAACCCCTCGTTGGAGAAAACGCATTTTTTGAGAGTTTAGCGAATTTTAAAATAACAGAATCGGTCGACATTGTGCAAAGTTTCTTATTCAGGGGCTCCAGGACACTTTCTTTATCCTCTGCAATATTGCTCATTTCCCGCGCAGTAGGCTGGGCTGGTAATGTTCACCCACTCGGAACTCCTCGGCTACCTAATAAAAATAACTCGCACGGGAAAAAAATCGTATGAATTATAATCGGGTTCGGCAATCAAATATTTTCGTGTAAGTTAATGGTGTAGATTTTCATCCATAGGTTAAAAATGGATGAAAATGTTCTAGAAGCCTCCTTAGAACTGTATACGCCCCAATTACCCCAAGTAGAACTGGCAATTTAAGAGCCATTCTCTGTAATGACTTGAACTTTTATATAGGAGCTGTGGCACGCATAGTCTCAGAATTTCTCCAAACTCTCTATGATAAAAGTCTTTGATACCGTTAACTCAAATCAGGCAAAAATTGGTTGCTACGTGTCATGGTTACCATAGCAACATGTCCTAAAGTTTGAAAAATGGCATTTTTCAACATCTTCAGAGTCCTACAGTTAACGTTTGCAGCAAAGCAAACAAGTGGCAATGACTGTTTCTGAAAGTTGAAGGCCTGGTGTCTTAAATGCATGATAAACATGTTTGGTAAATCATCTATAACATGCGTTACTATGGAAACAAAGTATTCAAAAGTAATAATTTTGTTCATTTAATTTCATAGTCATACACTTAAGAATAAAAACAATTATAGGTTGAAATGCAAGCAAATAATAGAGAAGAGATCCTTGTAACATATACCAAGGACAAAATATGATATTTCTTATAGGTTGGCAATGGTTGCCATGGTTTTAATACCACGAAAGGATTTTAAATTTACTCTCTTAGTGTTTTAATCTTATCCTATCTTTTTAAAAAGCATATTTCTATATAAATGATGATCAGTTTTTAAAGGCCTTGGTGTGACCCTAATTTTCACATTTCAAAAAATTCAATTTCAATTCTTTAAATAGTGCGTTGCTATGGAAATAAGGCGAAAAATCATGCATAAAAATCTGAAAAATACTCTGTTTCCTTGGATACGTACCGTTGTATGTAGATTCCCAAAACTTTAATGATTGATATATGTGAACAACTAACCTGACTTTCAATTTTGACTATCACCCAATCTCTAACTGGATGCAAAAAGCTGGCACATAGGGTCTAATATTGACAAAAAATTAACAAAATCGAACATTTTCTCTTCTTGGTTACCATAGCAACAGTGTTGTATTTTTCAACAACCTTTATCAATATATGATATTCAACTTTAGTTCTACGAGATAAGTACTATTCAAGGTGATTCAAATGATATTTTTCTTGATTAAAAGGTTGGTAAATTCCTAAAGCAGCAAAAAAATATCACTTTAAACAACTAGTACGTTGTTTCCATGGTTACACTGCAAAGTAACAATTAATCTCAATTTTTCTTATGTTGTCGGTGTTGCAAGGTTCTAAGGATGCATATGTGCCAGTCATGAATTTTATTGTTTTCCCTCACGATAGTAGCATGAACCCAATCATAGCAACAGATTTTGCATGGTGACACTGTGTTACCATGGCAACCATGAAAGTTATTTTTAGAATAATATTGCCAATACCTAATTACAGGAGGTCAAATATTTTTCATTGTTTTTCTTACGTTGTTGATTGAGTTTGATCATGTAACATCTATCATTTTAGCTGTAGAGCGTTTTTCAGCATTTTTCAGCATCTAAAATGTATTCCAAATGTACCCATGGTTACCACTTACTTAGAGATAAATTCTAAATAGTTTCTTTATAGCATAAGTGGCAACAAGGTGTCATGTTTTTGGGAGAATGGTTTGTTTGTTTTTCTTAGTCTTTATTAAGGCTTAATAAAGATTTAAAGTGGCTGAAAATCTCAATTTTTTCAACTTTTCTGGCCGTTACCATGGCAACCAAGACACATAGCAACGAAATTTTATTTGATATATGTTTCTGGTGTCAAGTTGTAATAATGGGCAAAGTTTCATCAAAATCGGTGACCATGCGTGGCAAAGAAGTTTAAGTGGTTACAGAGAATTGCTATTAAGCTGCTGGATCGGAAGAGAATGCAGATCTAAAACAACTGAGGGGCGATCTACAGAAATTAGTGTCTCTGACAGAGGAGGGACTGTTATCTCTAAAATAGTGCATCATTCTCAAAGGTATAGAGGAGGACAGCAATGAGAACAACACTGGAGATGATGAATATGCTGCTTTCCAGGCTGCCATTAAAGAGGAGGATAATTATGTGAAAGAAACTGCTACAGAGAACACTGAAGACGAATATTCATCTTTTAAGCTGCTCTGCGAGAGGATTTAATGTGTAATAAAGGAAGTGATTCTAAGTCTTCAGGTGGTTCTTCAAGGAATGGCACAATAACAAAAGGTCCAAAAATAAAAGACATAACAGAAGAATTGTCGGAAATTGTCGAAATTCTCTGTCGAGCGCCTTACATGCATGATTGGGGATCGTCCAGTCACCGTAATGCCACGGTTACAGATGTAAAAACTGATGATGATAATGAAATAATTGCTTCTATGTTGTTTTGTCATCCTACTCTCGGAAGAATGCTTCCATGTGAATATCATGGAGAAGGAAAATGTAAATTCACCCCAGATCAATGCCGATACTCTCATGGACATTCAGTGAAGCTGGAAGATCTCAGAGAGTACTGTGAACCTAACTATAACTACCTGAAGATGGAGTCACCTTGTTTGGCTCTTTACACTGATGGGCTTTGGTACAGGGCTGTAATTGTTGATGTTCTTGAGGAGGATCACCAATATACAGTGTCTTACGATAATTACAATGATACTGCCACATTGCATTTAAATGGCTCTGGGGATTAATAAGAGGAAACCGATGATAGGAGTCAATGTTAGAAAAAAAATTATTCCGTGATTCCTCATCCACTGGGAAGAAATGATTCCCAGATACTTATGAGACCAAACCAAACCACTGAGATACTAGACGAATGGGAGAAACATACTAAGGAATTGCCTCAAAACTGATGGCAAAAATGGGGTACATTGGGGTTGGTAAACTTAGACAAGGTCGTTCATAGCCTGTTCAAACTCAGCTTATTCCCCAGGGAAAATCCTTAGATAAAATTACGGAGTTGAAAGAGAAAGTAAGTGATGAAAATACGTTTAATGTCTCAAAGAAAATGAAGAAGAAAAAACGGGAAGATGACCAAGAAATCGGGATCTGAAACTGTGACGTCTTCCAGTGAAGTGTTCCATTTCATGAAAAAAGGTTAGGTGGTAAAAAAGGAAACATCAAAGAGCTTATACATCATCATAATCACAAAGCAAAGAATGCTCCAGTAAGAATACTTGAAAAAGAACTTTCTGGTCGCAGTGATAGGAACTTAAACATTCAGTTGCTTAAAACAGAAGAGGAAATCAGAAGCACTGAGAAGGAGATTGCTCGACTTAAACAAGCTTTACAAAGACAACAGAGGCCTCTGCTGGTGGACTGTTAGTCCCCGAGGGTCTCTACAGCCCAGTAGCTAAGTTCTTCGGTACTAGCTTGAAAATACGGATATATATTTTATAACTGTTGTAAAATTTAGAAATTTATTTTAAAAGTAAGGCATAACTCTGATCCTTCGACGTATTTGGCTCCAGTCTGTGGCACCTTTTATCAGCTCTTCAAAGTCTTTTTTGTTTAAACATTTTGGATTTCAAACGTTTTGGCATGAGCATTACTGAAGAGACATAATTTGGTGCATCAAAATTGGTACCGTATATGATTTACATGAAGGGATGGCAAAACTGTATCGAGTTAAACTCACTAAAACTGAGCTTTACCTGCAGGAACTTAAAACATCGTAAAAAACTATACAGAATCATAAAACTAAGAGAGGAAACCACAAAAAGTTAAGTGTATTCTAGAGGCTAATTGAATACTGAATTAGTCCTTTCAATATTTAAACACCGTTAAGTGATTTTAAAATGATTAATTCAAGTTTAAAGTATCTTTACAAGATTTTTTTTTTATATTAAAGTACATCCATATATAAAATAACTTTTTATCAATATAACATTTACAGAAGTAATATTGCCCTGTTTGTGTTGCAGAATAAACTACAATGTATGTGTGATGGTTGTGTTATATCTAAAAAAATTGATTAAACTATTATATCAAAAAGACTTTTCTGTATCTTTTAATTTACTGAACATAATAAAATTTGTATATACCAAACATATTTAATCATCAGATTAAAAAAAAGACGGGATAAAGAACATTTTTGACTAACAAAATGTTAACGAAAAGGGTAAAGATAATGAACAGTGATCAATCTAAAAAAAATAATAATAAAGAAAAAAAAAAGAATACAAATCTCTTATCAGGGCATAAAACACAGACCCACAGATTCTATGTTCATTCATTCTTTTGATTTTAATATAAATACTGTTACTTAGCCATGCATATTTTTACTATTTGGTCTTTATTCATTTCTCACCTAACTCTCCACCAGTGATTTATATTTATCCTTTTAAGTTTTCATTTTTTAATTGATTTATAAGAACTACTACAAATACGTTTCACTTTAAAGGCACTTTATCTACCTATGGTACGAATGAGTAAATGTACAATATAAGGTATGAAACTCGGAATGCCTTAGTAATTTTCATCACAGACCTAAAGGTGGATTCGGTCCACAATCAAAAGGTGAAGGTCACCAGTCTGAAATGTAGGACATGTAGGCAGTTTACATGCCTCACTTCAACTGACAACAATGAAAACAGCTGACATGTCTGTGATACTTGTTGGGTATAGAATGAAGGTTAAATGTCTCAAGTTTACAATGATATGCATTAAGGTGTATTTCAAGCAGAAATTATACATAGAAAATGTGTATTGAAATGGGAGGAAATTTGGTTTGTTTACACTTTTTAAGCCGACCGAGAGCTAGACGTCAGAAGCTTATTAATAACCAGGAACTACCACTTTGAACACCTCTATTTTTAGATATAAATATTTATCAGACACATTGCTCTAACATTTGGTCAAAAATATTTTGGAAATGAGGCTTTTTAAAAAAGTTAAAAACAAAATGAAAGAAAACGTGAGCAAACTCAC